TTAGTTTTACATCCTGTGTGCCCAGTCTGTGTGCCCAACCCTGGACATTCCAATAAACTTTGAGATAAAAACGGAACTGGGGGAATTACAAATTGGAGGTATGAATGGGTGTAGGGATGAATGGACAGATAAATGGATCATGGTGGAAACCGGGTGCTGTAATCAATGGAAAGCACCTTCCTACCTAACTGCTGATGTGGAGGGGATGAGGTTGAAGTAAAATGCTCTGTCTCTTCATTGGTTATCAGAAGATGGGATGGACGTCTTGGGGGGGGGGCAGAAGAGCAAAGCAAATATCTGGAGAGATAAAACCAGGGCACCAACGGTACATGTCAACACAAAAGTTGTTTTTTTTTTCTCCTAAGTTCAAGAATGTGTAAGGGGAAAAACTCCAATTCATCAGAATGTTTCCAAGGTCGCTTGATGGAAAACAAGTTTCGTACTGATATATTTTGCAAGCCAAAATGCACTTCCGAACACCGCAGACCTAAGTAAAGCTACTGCAGTTTCATAAGGACATCAGGCTTATACCTCTGTTTGTTTCTTTTTGACTGTGGAGACAGTTTTGGGTGATAACTAAGCGCTCCAGGCATTAAAATACTGCATCCCAAACTCTGGGAAATCAGCAAAGGGATGTAGTTGCGTACAACTTAAAGGATCTTTGGGTGGGCCTCCGGAAGAAACAGCTGATCGTCTTTTACTGCTGTGTATCTTTGTTATGTCTGTTTGCAGAGTAAACTGTTTTGAACCAGGCTATCCTGCAAAGATTAACAGGGCTTAGATTAAGATGTCCTGGATTTTACCATTTAAGCCAGCCCATTTTAGTCCTTTGAAGATGACAAAATAACAAGCGTCTTTTTCCTCTTCTCTACTGTAGACTTCATTAACCATCTGTTGTCAACTGGGATCTTGGACTGAGCTTTAGGAATTTGGAAGCCAGTGCCCTGCCCTAAAATCATTGAATAATTTTAGATACTGTCTGAGTTCATATGGAGAGCCATGTACTCTCCAGATATTCTGTGCTAGAGAAAGCTTAATTCAATAATGTACAGTATATAATGTTGGACAAATTGTAGAATGCACGATTGCTATTAGATTTTCAGACCTTTAGTTGTTACCGTTGCTGTAATCTGCCTTCCTTTGTAATCATCTACCAAAAATGTGGGGAACCAGGAAGAGCCTCCCCACCAAATACCTAAAGTCCTATTTACAAGGGCTCTTGTTTTTCTAACATCTGTGGTTCATTTAAATCAGGGGTAGGCAACCTTGGCTCTTTTATGACTGGTGGACTTCAACTCCCAAAATTCCTGAGCCAGCATGGATCAGCTTGGAAACCTCTCCCTTTTCCCTCAGCATGGCTGGCTGAGGAATTCTGGGAGTTGAGGTCCATAAAAAGAGCCAAGGTTGCCTACCCATTTAAACCAATGAAAATTGGCACTTTCACATAGGTAGCATGAATTATTGTGCTTAGACCCTCCCAGTTTTCTGCAGTAAAACACTTGAGACTGCTGCACATTAAAGCTTCGTCTGTGACTTAAGCAAAGCAATGAATAAGGAAGATCTCCAGAATGCTGCTGGTTCTCCTTCCTAATCTAAGACCACCGCATATACCTGTGCTGCTCTTTGAAATATCTTGATCCCTCACTCACACACACACCCAAACACACACTCCTAGCTATGAAAATATGAGATGTGGTCTAATTATCTGGAGACACTAGCTTGTTGTACTACAACTATCACAAGAATTTTGAAGAAGATTCCTTTTAGCTATGTTGTAAGAAAAGTCTTCATCATGGTTCAGTCCAAGCCAGGAATAAACAACATGGTGACTGCTTTAGAAAGAAGGTTGTAGTTTACTGAAGAGGAGAGCCAGACAGGAAGATGGCTCTGGAAGAAAAGAGAGAGAGCACATGTAGGGAGTGGGTTTTTATACCCTCTGGAGCCTTTTGTTTGGAGTTGTTTCCTGTTCCTGTTTGAGGCTTTGTATTTCCTGTGTCATGTATTCTGACCTGAGTCTGGGTGTGTCCTTTGGCATCTGTGAGTTAATCCTATTATATCCTGTCTTAGAGTTTGGGTGGGTATGTAGGTTTGTTTTAAGCTTCTAGCTGGGGGCTTCCAGCTGGGGGCTTCCAACCTTCCTGGATTGTTTACATCTGCATTTCTACAGAGCTAGTTTCTACTTGGGGGAGCGAGACTTGGGGCTATTAAGAAAACTGGGCATGCTTTTCTGCCTCTTTAAGATCCTTCTCTGGAGGGCTGACTTCCCACAGCTACATCCTGACTTCTGTGGCAGATTTCTCCAGGTGGGATGCCTGTGGAACAGATGCCATTTTCCAAGCCACACACCCCCTCCACTCCAAATAAATTCACAAAAGGTGAAAGTAGTTGCTGGTGTTTGGAAAGATCCTAGCTGGTTGCAGGATTAGAACAGGGTTGACCTAACATGCAAAAAACATCAGTTTCATCTGATAAGATGCAGTTTTGTGGCTCACTGTTGTTTGAAGCAAATTGTCACCAGGATATTGTATCCCAGCTCCAAAATCTTTTTTACTAAATGTGCTTGTGATCGATATTACCATGTGCACAACAGTTACTTCATTTTGAGATACATCTCCAAGGTCCAGGAGTATACCTGGGCCATCACTTAAGTTTTCAGCTTCATTTCAAAGAGAAACATTAGTTTTAAATATCCCTCTGTGAGGAAGATGGGCAAGTTCTGACAGAACAAAACCAGAGCCAGATAGTTCTCAGAAATATAAAATATGCCTTATTTTCAAGTTGCTGAATAACTTGCATGTAAATTGCATGCTTATCTTTTGGGAGGCGTGTGCGATTACGGTAAAATAGTAGGATTGGTGAGCGAAAACAGCCACTGTCTAGACAGACATTGTTTTAAATGTGGCCCCGAGGCTTTTTTTACATACCAATATTCTCTGTGAATGTGCAGCAACAGGTCCTATATTCCAGTGGTTCTTAACCTTTTTGAACGAATCGCCCCCTTGAGCCAATGAGGAAGTTGTCATCGCCCCCCTTCCCCAACATAACCTCTCAATCACAACATAGGAAAGAATTCTTCAATTTATGCAAACCCTTGTTTTTGTTTTCTTTAAAATTGTCATCAGGACATATCGATGCAAATAGTTTTTTTCCAGTCTTTTCCCCCTATCTCCCATATTCTGGCCAATGGCGCGCCACTGTATGGGTAGAGGCTACTGCGCAATGCGCATGAAGATAAGCGATGCGTCTTCACATATGTACGGCGTTCTGTACTGAAGCTAGCTGGAGGAACATTTGAAAACGCAATTCAATCCACTAAGAGCGAGCGATCTGATGTTTTTGTACGACAGATATACAGCGATTCACTATACGAAAAAGTCTCAAAAGTGTCCCCAAAACCTCTCGCTCCATCGCCCCCATATCACCCCCTTTTAGTTCCATCGCCCCCCTGAAAAATGAAATCGCCCCCTGGGGGGCAATATCGCCCAGGTTAAGAACCACTGCTATATTCTCCCTCAAGCACAAACACCTGTGCAAAGGGAACACATTTCTGGAATAATTATAGTTGCATATAAAAGTGCAAATCATTTTGGAAAAGGTGGGCAGTTCGTCTCAGATTAGAACGAAAACTGAAATATTTTAAGAAAGGAAACGCTGTTAGCTACAACGGAATCAAAGTGAGGTGGCCAGGGAAAAGTTTATAGAAATATATCTTAATAGGAATGCTGGATGCTGTTTTAGGTAATAGATAATATTAAGCTTGGCTGTGTAATGTAACCTAAAATCATAAAGATGTGTTCATGTTATGTAGAAACCATTTTACAAGAAGTGCCAACTGAAAGTCACAAATGGTGTAAGATATTACACGTGTAGGGGAGTGTGGTTTTCTGCACATTGTATAAACTTCCCTTTTTCCTATGTGTGTTGTCTCAAGATATGAACTTCTCTCTTTTAGTGGGTTAAAGGTAGATAAGAAGTCATCTACTAGGTTAAGCGTGGGCGGCAAGCTGTATAAAAATGACACCCTGGGAGTAACTCAGGGTTCAGAATCTGTCATGTGAATGCTCTGAACCATTGTGCACAAATAAAGCCTGTTTTCTCCAACCCTTCGTGGTCTTGTCTTCTGATGTAAGTATTGTGATTTTTCCACAACAAAAGGAGTTCGTAAAATTAATAAGGAAGGCACCAAAGTTATTTCTTTAGTCAGTGCTTCTGGCCAGGTTTAAAAGTTGTGAGTCCCTCAATCTGGTGCTTTGGTTTGGAAGTCACTTCTTGGAAAACATCATCCTTCTCCAGGCAGTGTTGAGCTGTCCCGAAGGGGTGTGGAAGAAGAGAAGAGAAAGGAAAGCACCTATAACACCCCCTCCCTGGTTTTTGGCATACAGTATGATAATTTACAGACATATGATATTGTTGCTTCTTCAAATATTTGCATGAACTGCTTTGAGACTCATGTTAGCAGGAAAATACAATAAAGTTCTAATAAACCCTCTCACGTCAACAGCTTTTAGACTGAGGGAATAGGGGGTCAATGCCCCCTTTTTTCCTCAGCATCTTGTAAAGAGTTGCAGAAAAATCTGTCTGTCTGTCTGTCATCGCGTTTAAAAACTGTCCATCTCCCTGACAGAAGGAGTCCGGGTGGTATACAATAAAATGTGAATAGGAATGGGATTCAGTTTTACTCGCTGGATTTCTGCCCTGTGGGCATGTGCTAAGTCCGGGAGACATGTCTAGATGAAACTAGGTGACCCCTTCGGACGGATTGCTAGAGCTGGGATAACATCTGCCTTGGCACCTGCACGCTTCCTGCTCTTGAAGGAAACACGCCGACTGGTCCTTTTGGGTTAAGGACCATTCATTCATTCGTTCATTCATTCATTCGTTCGTTCATTCATTCATTCAGTCCCGGGGGGGGGGGAAACAAGCTCCCCGTGAATTTCGCGTAATCGGTCTCAGCCACGATGTCACACACGGAGGGGGTCACGCAGGAGCCCGGAGAAGTCCCTCCCGGCTCGGCGTTGCCCAACCTGGCGCTCGCCTTCCAGATGTGCGCCCGGCCCTTCAGCCACAGCCTCCGGGGAGGAGCGGCCTCCACTCCACCGAAGATGTGCCGAGCGAGCGCCACGCCCGGGCCTCGCTGGCTGGCCGGACGGTCGGACGGCCTCTTTTGCCTCAATGAACCGCCAGGCCGGGGTATAAATAGCGCGGGGAGGAGGCGGAGGCGGCGGCGGCGACGTCACCTCCAGAGGAGCTGAGCTGCCCGCGGGAAGGAGGAGGAGGAGGAGGAGGAGAGGCTGCCGGCCGGCCGGTTGGTGAGCGAGCCAGCGAGCGAGCGAGCGGGCGCCTCGGCGGCGGCTGCAGCTACAAGAAGGAGCGGCCGGACTCCGCGCCATGCAGCCTGGCCGGCGGCAGAGCTGACGGCTGCCTCCGCGCCCCGCCGCCCGGTTGCGAGGCTCGCTCGGGGCCGGTAAGTGCTCGGGAATGGCCCAGCCACGTGCTGCCGTCCGCAGCCTCCCCCGATCGGCGGGGCAGAAAGTTGGGGCGCGGGGCGGGCGGTCGCTCGGCAGCTCGTCCCCGGGACCTTCGGCGAGCGAGCCCGGGGGGGTGCGGTCACCCCCGGCCTCCCCGCGCCATGGCCAGGGCGCGGCGGTGCCGGGAAGCGCGGCGAGTAGAGAAGATCTCCGCGGCGCTGCCGTGGGTGCTGAAATCCCTCGCCGCCCTGCCCGACCGCCGCAGCCGCTTCTGGGCGCTGCTTTGCAAAGGGACGGAGCTGTCCGGGGCGTCGGGTGCTCGCTTTCTTTCCCGAGAGATGCTCTGGGCTCCCCAAGTGGGGAGCTGCGCGCTTTCCCCGCCCGGGGAGCCTTTCCCGAAGCAAGAAAAACTTTCAGGCGCAAGAGCGGTCCGGCGAGGCCGGCAGAGCCCTTTGCAAGCCAGGGCGCATCTGGTCCCAGTTCCGCTGCGTCCTGTCCGGCGGCGGCGGTGGTGCTGCCAGGACGGCGTCCGTGACTGACAGGCGCTTCCCCCCTCGGTCTGTTTTCTGTTCCTAGATGTTCTGTTGAACGGCAGCCAGACATGTAGCGCTGGAGGCTGGGGGCCTCGACCGAGGTGGGCGGGCAGGCAGGCTAGGGCCGCTCGGCAAAAGACGAAAGCAAGGAGACGCTGCGGATCTGGCTCATTTGCTCGCCCGGGTAGGTTTGGATCCCAGCCCGCAGCCGTGATGGGGCTTTGCATAATTAATCGTTGCTCTGCCCATGGCTTGGCTAGGTTGAATCCCAAGGCGTGGTGGTTTGCTTTAGCCTAACATTCCTTTCTTTAACTTCTCTTTCTTTGTTGGTCTAAGAGCCAGAACTCGGTTCTCCGTGTGTGTGTGTGCCCCTTTGGTGAACTCCAGGCGGGAAGATGAACTTATTTTAAGTCCTATTTCCTCCTCTGCGATAACAGAATTCAGGTAACAGTCTAGCAATTTTAGTAGCTGTGAGGGAGGCTCCGAAAACTCTGAGGTCTTAGCACAGTGGTTTTCAACCTTTTTAATGCCGCGACCCCCAACTGGTCGTAAGTCAAGGACTACTCAACCGGTCGTAAGTCGAGGACTACTCAACTGGTGCAGCACCGTTTGCAGAATGGGACTTTTGGCGGGCTCAGCAGGGCAGAGACAGCCTGGACAATTCCTATTGGCTTTTGAAAGCCAATAGAATTAGACTCTATTCAAGAGAGTCTATTCTATTGGCTTTCAAAAGCCAATGGAATAAAAGGGAGTAGCACAGCTATGGAAAAGGGGGGAAAATGGCTGCGTTGTTTGGTGACCCCTGTGAAATGGTCGTTCGACCCCAAATGGGGTCCCGACCCACAGGTTGAGAACCACTCTCTCAGCAGTTATGGGGGGGAGGGGGTTCTTGAATTAGAAGACCTCGTCCCTGCTCAGCCCTTAACTCTGCCAGGCCTTTTTAACCGGAGGCTGTGGCAGCAAATAGTCACATCAACTGGGTCAAAAGCATCAAACTCTGTGCTCTAGGAAATGCCCATTCTGTCATGATGCTCAGGAAAAGCTTCAGGGCATTGCTAGCCCTTGTCCACAGGATGGATAAGCCCCACCCACTTCTGCCTAGCTAGCCAATCAGTGCCTGGAACATATTCCAATCAATAATGTAGAGGGCACGTATATTGAAAGGGTGAAGAGAGGGAGGGGTGATTGTAGTTCTTCCTGCAACACAACCGGATCGTGTAGAATTAATTTAGTGTGTTTTGTGAAGAAATCTGTCCTGGGTTAAAATTAATCCTGAGTGGGTTTTTTTTTTTTTTTTTTTTGGTATTCTCAAAGACATTTGTTCTTCTCCTAGCCTCAGTTAAAGGGTTGAAAGGCATGGTTATTGCACCTTTTCTGGTTATTGGGGGGGGGCAGTTAAAATGTAGGAGATTAATTTAGCCAGGACCAGAGTGATGCCTGGACACTCAGCCTGTGATGGTCCTTTGCCAACCTTGGCTGATCTTGGAAAACTAAACAGAGCTGGACCTGGCGAAGGCTTGGCTAAAAGTCTCAAGGAATAGCTGACAGCAGGACGAAAGAAACGGCACACCTCTTCCGGTTTTGTTGCCAAGAGAACTACAGACCCTATCTGTGGCATCCCCAGGGGTTCATCTCAGCTCTGAGGAGACCTTACAATTTAAGGCAAGTCCTCTCAGGAAGCAGAGTTGTGCTTACTTTCATTTATCTGTAACATATCCCTGGACGCTGGAGTATTTGTCTAAGCCAGTGGCCATTGACCTCCATGGCCGAGTGAGCTGTTTTAAGAATGTTTATATTGGATTCTGGAGCCCGTTCATATGGGAGAGGAACTATTTACAGCAGGGATCAAATAGGCACTGAGATAATGAGGAAGGGAGGCTATTTGTGGGGCTGACAAAGAGATCCTAAAACACAGCTTTTGTAGGACATGTCCGTCTTCAGGGCATCGTTGGGATTAATTTTTCGAACTGTGCTATTGTCCGTGGGCAGGGCGCCACCAACGGTCAGGGTGGAGAGTTGCAAGAGAGGGGAGTAAACAGGGGTGCCTTTGAGGGGGTGAAGGTGACCCTCTCACCGACCATAAGCATTGCTGTCCCTGCCTCTGTGACTACCCCAAATATCCCGGGGGAGGGGCAAAGCCAATAATTTTTCCTCTGCTTTCTGATTTTTGACCCCTTAGCCTTTCAAAATTGAGCCAGGTTTTTTTTTCAAAATAAGCAGAACACATGTTAAAAAGTAATGTGCTGTTCTCTTAACCCATAAAGGGCTCAAATATTTTTGAAACTTTATAATGCCTTGATAAGACCACCCTTGGAATACTGCATCTAGTTTTGGTCACCACAATGTGAAAAAAGACGTTGAGACCCTAGAAAGAGTACAGAGAAGAGCAACAAAGATGATTAGGAGACTGGAGGCTAAAGCCTATAAGGAACGGTTGCTGGAATTGGGTATGTCTAGTTTAATAAAAAGAAGAACTAGGGGTGACATGATAGCAGTCTTCCAATATCTCAGGGGCTGCCCCAAAGAAGAGGGAGTCAAGCTATTCTCCAAAGCGCCTGAAGGCAGGACAAGAAGCAACGGATGGAAGCTCATCAAGGAGAGAAGCAACCTAGAACTAAGGAGAATTTTCCTGACCGTTAGAACAATTAACCAGTGGAACAACCTGCCTCCAGAAGTTGTGAATGCTCCAGCACAGTTTTTAAGAAGAGACTGGACAGCCATTTGTCTGAAATAGTATAGGGTTTTGTGCCTGAGCAGGGGGTTGGACTAGATGGCCACCAAGTCCCTTCCAACTCTGTTATTCTACAGACTTCGGCTTTCATGCTTTGGAGCCCAATAATGTAGAACTGACCCTTGCAGTGATAATGCAGATGTAGATGGTCTCTTATAATGGGGCGCCAGCAAGAGCCTCCCTTGAAATGAGCCTGGTGGAATTTTGTAAATTTTACAAATGGAGCGAGATTTCCAGGCCAAGAGTACCATGTGCAGGCAAGGATATCTCTGTTTGGCAACATTTGCCGCGCTGAGCAGTTTTTCTCAAAGCCGAGTGGGGAAAAAGCTGCCACTGTGCAGGATTAACAGATACTAAAAGGAAAATATGTGAGAACTGCAAGAATATCTGTTCTTTTCCAGAAGAAAGTGAGCACAAAATTCCCATTATGAACACACTGATCTTGTTCAGGAATCCAATGTTTATTGTTTGCCATTCATTACTTAGTATTTTCACTGAAGTTGACGCCATCATTTATAAAATCAAATGCTTTCTCCCAAAACTTGGTAAGTGTAAGACACTGTAAAAAAAATGTATTTTAAAGAAACGAGGTCCAGGCAGAAGAAGAACATCGTGGCTTCAAAATCTAAGGGACTGCTTTGGACAAAACTCAGCAGCCCTTTTTGGTGCGGCTGCTGATAAAAACAGGATCGCCAACATGATCGTCAATGTCCGATAATGTCCGAAGAAGAAGAAAGAAACATTATCCTTAATCCATCACTAACCAATTTCTGGTTTTGACAAACCTTTTCTATATAAACATTAACAGAGTTCAATGAATTCTAAATGTTATTTTTTGTGTCTAAGTGGTGATTCGAGATCCATTTATGCTCTTGCTATAGAGGTTATGGGTTATATAAATATAATTGTGCGACAAAGGCTAATATTTTCAGAGGAAAATAATACATACCAAGTACTTGAAATCTGAGGCAACATAAAAGTCTAATTCTGCAGCACTGACAGCACTGCAAAGATAAATGAATGGTCTCTTTCACCCAATGGATTGAGGACCTAAGTAAACTTGCCATTTACAAGTGGATTATTTATAGACTTAATATAGGCAACAACAATGAAATATGGGATTTATTTATACAGAATACAGCAGGTTAAGGAATATATTTATATAGTAAATATTGTTGTTGTTAATTGCGAAGTCGTGTCCGACCCATCGCGACCCCATGGACAACGTTCCTCCAGGTCTTCCTGTCCTCTACCATCTCCTGGAGTCCATTTAAATTCACACCTACTGCTTCAGTGACTCCATCCAGCCATCTCATTCTCTGTCGTCCCCTTCTTCTCTTGCCCTCAATCTTCCCCAGCATTAGGCTCTTCTCCAGTGAATCCTTCCTTCTCATTAGATGGCCAAAGTATATAGTATAAAGTATAGTTGTATATAGTAAATATATACAACCCAAAACTTTGGTAGAAGCCAAAATCACAAGACTATATCTGATTTGCTCTGGCCATGTCATGCGTGCAAATTCATTGGAGAAGTCAATGATGCTAGGAAAGGTTAGTGCAGGGGTAGGCAACCTTGGCTCTTTTATGACTCGTGGACTTCAACTCCCAGAATTCCTGAGCCAGGCTCAGGAATTCTGGGAGGTGAAGTCCATGAGTCATAAAAGAGCCAAGGTTGCCTACTCCTGGGTTAGTGGAACAACAAGAAGGGGCAAGCAAAGAACATGCTGGCTTGGTACCATCAAAGCCGAATCAAAGATGAACATCCAACAACTGAAAGAAGCTGTTCTCGGCAGGGTAGCAATCATGGAATCGGTTCCTTAAAATTTGGGCAGTTCAGATAAAGCACATTCCACCCTCTAAGTTGTGCTTTACTCTGGGCTAAGACTTTGCCCCGGGACCATACCTCTGAGAAGATGACTGTGGCCATGGCCACTAAGTTTTACTCTCCCTCATAGATGGGAGCCTGTGCAGGACTCTTCCCGCTGGTGATGATAATGGAGGAGAGACTCCTTCAGATGTTCGGACTTAGAACTTTGTGCCTTTGAATTAGACCATGGTGGCTGGAAGGCAATTGGAGCAGGTCTTTTAAAAAGGTTCTTGTTACCTGATAGTTTTGCTTCACTGTGCTCTTAGCAACTTGGCAGCTGCCTTCTTCAGAGGAATTGGCTAGCCAGACTCTCATATGTAAAAGACTGGAAGGGGGCTGTCCCAGGCTGGGAAAATGGCAAAGGATGGACCAGTTGAAACCGGCCATATGGGGGACCCTCCTCTCTGTGCATCCATCAGGTGTAGCTTGAACGTGAGAAGAAATGCCCACCTCCCTTAGAAAGGAGTGATGGTCTGGGTTTTTTTTCAAATTTTTTCATTAATTTTCTATTATAATATTTGATTTGTTGTTGTTAGTTGCAAAGTCGTGTCCGACCCATCGCAACCCCATGGACAATGTTCCTCCAGGCCTTCCTGTCCTCTACCATCTTCTGGAGTCCATTGAAGCTCACGCCTACTGCTTCAGTGACTCCATCCAGCCACCTCATTCTCTGTTGTCCCATTCTTCTGTTGCCCTCAATCTTTCCCAGCATCAGGCTCTTCTCCAGTGAGTCCTTCCTTCTCATTAGGTAGCCAAAGTATTTGAGTTTCAAATTCAGGATCTGGCCTTCTAAAGAGCAGTCAGGGTTGATCTCCTCTAGGACTGACCGGTTTGATCGCCTTGCAG